GTAACCTTGGATAAGTCACTTAATCTCTTTTTGCCTCAGTTTCCTCAACAGTAAAATGGGAATAATAATAATAGCACCTACCTCACAAGGTTGTTGTAAAAATCAAATGAGATAACTCAAGCATTTAGTACAGAGCCTGGTACATGGCAGGCACTATCTAAATGCTGGCTATTATTGTTGTTGTTAGGATACCAAGTTAATGGGATTGAACTCTAATTGACTTTCAAAGTATCCCAATGGTCTGACCCCATTACAATTCTCCAATCTTATTTCCCATGAGTCCTCCAACAGGAATCCCTAATCTGCTCCATTATGGAAGCAGCATGGTGAAGCGGAAAGAGCATTGGCTTCACAGAGGACCTGTGTTCATTTTCTGCCTTGGATGCTTCCTACCTCCATGACCTTGGGCAAGTCACTTGGTTTCTTCATTTGTAAAATGGGGTGGGAGTTTGATTAGATCAGGGCTTCTTAACTTGGAGCCTGTAAACTTTTTTTTTAAATTTAATAATGTTTTGATAACTATATTTCAACATAATTCGTTTTCTTTATAATCCTGTGTATTTTATTTTATGCACTTAAAAGCATTATTATGAGAAGGGATCTATGATACAAAGAAAGTTAAGAATCCCTGCACTAGATGGCCTCTGGGGACCCTACTATTTCTAAATCTAAGATCAAACGACCCGATTATCTTGTAATTACTGTTCCCTAGACACATCATAGTCAGTTTTACTTCTCTTTTGCCGTAACTCCTGCTGTTACCTACTCTATGCAATACCTTCCTGCTTACCTGAAACCCATCTTCTTCCATCAAGCTCTGGACAACTCCTCCAGCCCCAACTGACCTCACCCTTCTTTTTATGATGTCATAAGATCAAGTTCTAGATCTGAAAAAGACCTTAGGGACCATGTAGTCCACTCCCCTTATTATTCAGATGAGGAAACTGAGCCTCAGTGAGGTTGAGTGACTAAGGTCTGTCAGATAAGTGATGGGGCTGGGATTTGAACCAAGGATAATGACAATATCAAGAAGGTTAGCCCCTAATTGTTAAACCTAGGTCCTGATGAATTTGGATAATGAATCTCCAAGGTAGTTTCATTATTTGAATCTGAATTGAATTATTTCTATTGGTCGGGAACCCATATTACCATATTTTACATAATTACAAGTTCAAATAGTGTGAGTTAAAATACATACAACTACTTCAGGAGACTCATTATTCACACGAATGGGGACCTAACTGAGCTCCTTTTATGTCCCCCATAACAGATAGTTCTGGGAATGTAGTAGACACATACTTAGTCAGCGAGCATACTATGTACCAGGCACTGTGCTAGGTACTAGGGACCTAGTCCCCTGCCCTTAAAGAGCTTATGTTGTCTCAAAACATGTAAATATATAGAGAATATATACAATATAAATACAAGGGAAATTTAGAGGGGGATACTAGCAGATGGAGGATCAGGAGAGGCCTCATGTAGAGGATACAAGGCAGTTAGGTATCTAAGAGACAGAGGTAAAGAGGGAGAACATTCCAAGGGGAAGAGACTGAGAAAAAGTATAGGGACAGGATATGGAATACTCTATGTGAAAAACAATAAGAAGGCCAAGTTGGCTAGGCCACATGGTATTTCATCATCCTTATCATCATTGTTAGAGTTATATAGCACTTCAAGGTTTGCAAAGCACTTAACAAATAATGCCATATTTTATCTTTATAACTATGTGAAGTTGTTATTGTTGTTGTTCAGTCGTGTCTGACTCTTCGTGACTCCATTTGGGGTTTTCTTGGCAGAGATACTGGAGTGGTTTTCCATTTCCTTCTCTAGCTCATTTTACAGATGAAGAAACTGAGTCAAACAGAGGAAGTGACTTGCCCAGGGTCACACAGCTAGTAAGTGTTTAAGGCTGGATTTGAACTCAGGTCTTCCTAAATCCAGGCCCGGTTCTCTATCTGCTGAACCACCACTGTTTTTATCCCTGTTTCACACATGAGGAAACTGTGGCTGAAAGAAATTAGGTGACTTTCATGAAGTCACACAGCTAGAGAATGTCCAAGGCAGAATTCAAACTCAAGTGTAACTGACTTTAGGTCCTTTGCTCTATTAATTGGGTTAGAAGAAGCCAAAAAGCATTTATTTAGTACCAACTATGTGTTAAGGGCTCTTTATAGATTTCTCATTTGATCCTTACAACAACCCTATGAGGTAGGTGCCATTATTCCTCCCATTTTACATTTGAGAAAACTGAGACAGATGGAGAATAAATGACTTGCCCAGGGTCACACAGCTAATGAGTGTCTGAGGCTGAACTTGAGTCTTCCTGACTCTACGCCTGGCACTCTATTCATTGAATCATCAGCTTCCTCTGTACTACTTAGGGTTATAATGTATAATAAGGCCAGAAGGTAAGAGGAAGATTGTCATCAGCTTTAAATATCAGACCAGGGAGTTCGTATTTTGTTCTGTAGGCAATAGGAAGATGTTAAGAGTTTTTGAATGGGATAGTGACATATAGCAGCTGTTTAAAGACTATATCGGAGAGGGGAGAGACTTGTGGCAGAGGACAAGCAAGAGGCCATAGTCATGATCTCTGTGAAAGATGATGAGAGACCTGGATTAGTTTGGGAGTAATGGAGAGTGGAGGATTGTTGTAAAGCATATTCTGGGGTCAAGTCCCTGTTCTCAAGGCAACTACTTTGATGTGGTGCTAAGGGAGAATGAAGAGCTCAGGATGGCTCTGAGATGCTGAAATTGAGCGGCTGAGAAGATGGTGGTGTTCTCAATAGAAAGAGACATGTATAACATGATCCCTTCACTTAAGGCATAGTAAATTAGTGGAGTTCACTGATTCAATATTTGACTTTGCTTAGGCTTGTCTTTTATAGCCTTAATTTCCATTTTATAAAGTAGAATTATGGGCCTAGCACTTGTGATTTTTAAGTTTCTGGCAAGGCTGAAGATAGAATTGATGTCCACTGATTCCTAGTGCTATCTAGTCCATTGGTTTATCTTCATTAAAAAAATGATTATTGTTATGTGAACACTGGAGATTTTGACATTTGGTTTTGATCTTCCCTTAATTTTTGTGTTTCCCCTAGGTCAGTAATGACCTTCCTCATCTCACACACAAACATATTGTTTTGGTAATGCTCTATTTCTGGTGCCCCAAGTTGTTAGTCCAGTCCAAGAAATTACTTTTTATTTGTTTTGTATTTACTTATTTTTCCCAAAATTTAAGCCTGGAATACTGGCATATGACTCTTCTCATTCGTGGAAAGAATGGCTGCATACCTCTAGAGTAAAGTTGGCCTGAGAAGTTTGGAGAGGAGAGACATTTTTCCTCATTCCTGTTTCAAGAGAGGACACAAGTGGTTCCAGATAGTCTCCATGGAGAGACATGTAAGGGAGAGTCAACACCTCAACACATCCCTGAGTTTTGGTTGAGTGAAATCTCAACTCATTCCAATGTAAAGAGCTCATTCACTCCGTGTATTTTCTGGCATAAGCTCTCTGATTTTATTTGCTATATCTGCTTGAATAAATTAATTTACTCACTATTTACTCTTTGTGATTTTTAAAAATATATTTGTGTGTGTGTGTGTTTGGCAAGGAGTAAAGTCTGCAGATATAAGCTTGGGTTATCCCTTCCCCTTTAAGGGATAGTGTGAACCTAAAAAACTAATTCCCTTGACTAGCAATAATTTGGAGAGCAAATAAATGTAATTCTAGTCTAGTTTCCAGAAGAATGTGGCCACTTATTGTCCTTTCTCCTATACCCCTTCAGGTAGGATTCCAAGTCTTTCTTAGAGAGGGATGAGAAAAATTCCAGATTTATCTATCAGAGCTTTCCTGTGAGCCACATTTAGACAAACCCATGGGGCATGTATAACCTATATGGGCAACACACCCTACATTTCCATTGGTACCCTTTGTTTCACTCAATAAAAGGTAGGCTTTTTGAAAGAAAAAAAAATGATTGTTTCTATTCCCCGTCTCCCCCACTTTACATAATGCCTGGCACACAGTGGGTGCTTTGTGAATGTTTGTTGATTGAATTGATAGTAGTTATAGGTCTGGTGGTGCTTGTGTTTTGTTACCTCTTTTTTCAGGACATATGCCCTTGTGTTAGCAGCTCACTCAATGACCTCCTCTTCTTCATACTCTGTTGTCATTTGAGATCATTTCAAGGTGAATAAATCTCTTGGTTTCTTTTCTAGTTACCATCAAAGCTCTAGCTAGAAAAGTTTCCCTTCATCTCTCTGGATCCTGCTCCATCCTCTAGGATCCTCGAGACCAAAGATGATTATTCAACCACAGAAAAGGGTATGTTTATGATATAGGTGGAGACTCCCTTCTGTCTTGTCTATTGGACCTAAGCCTACCTTTTATGATAAAAACATGATTAGTTCCATAGGACACACCCTATCAATGCATTCTTCTATCCAATGCACTGGTGGTTTGTGCAGTATAGTGTACAAATTCAGGGTCTCCAAAAGGATCCAACCACTTGACTGAATGGTGATTTAAAGTAACTCTTCCCTTAACATCCACCTGCTCCCCCATTCAGAAATGTGGATTTGAGCTCAACAACTTTAGCAACAATATCAGTTTGCTTAAGATTTTTCACTTCCTGACCTGAATGAGCCTCCTAGCTAAGGATGTCCTATAAATAGAGGAGTTAGCATTTTTTTAACCCCAAGAGTCTCAAATAACATCTATTTTTTCTCTTTATGTTTAATCTCTGGTATGGCTAAAACCAAGTCTCTAGCCAGGTAAACCTCTTATATACAAATAAGAGTTAGATTGTAACAAGATCCATGTAGAGTATGCATACCAGGCTACTATATACTCTATTCTACCCAATTCATTCTTTTTAGACACAGTACCTAGATCTTCATCGAACAAACTCATTTGACAGAGTTACCAAAAAAAGGATGGAAGACACGGAAGAGGAGAAAAAACTAGGCCATTCTACCATTTTTTTTAAATACCAAGGATTTTATTTTTATTTCACCACAGTCTTATACAATGATACAACCATCTCTTACAGTTTGGTATTCTCATGTCTTTTCTTAATATATTCTCCAAGCAAGGAAGTTCTCAGTAAACACCGTACATTGCTAGCTGAACTTTTAACAACGATTTAAAAATGTGTTGTATTTGTTGCTTCAATGCAATAGTACCAACAGTAAAAGTACAGTACAGGGAAATTCACAACAATACGACAGTTAAACATATTGGCTCACATTTAGGCGATGGTCAGAGTACAGTAGCAGTATGTACATGCACGCAAGAGCTTGGAACCCAAAGGCATGCAGGTCAAGCATGGCGTGTGGATTATATAGCTAACATCATAAGCCTTTCAGAGGCCTTCTTTGTGACTTTTTATTTGTGTGTTTGTTTGACCTGTATTCCCTCCAGTCTATTGAATACCATTCTAGTCAGCTAAATTGCTTTTTTTACTACATAAAATTTAATGTTTCATATAATCTTAAACATTTCAAGAATCTTCCTTTAAAAAAATAACACTGACATCAAAATAGAACAAAATTAACTTAAAACACCCTAAGTCAACATGGAAATAAACCAAACCAAAATGGAACAGTGCAAATTGAACGAAAAGGCAGTCAGTATTTGGGGAGCGAGCGCATTCAGAATCTCTTAAAATGTACATTTTTAAAATTCTTACTCTTTAAATTTATATCTTATTAACCTTTTGTTTAATATACTGTGTGTAGAAAAGATGGAGACAAAAATAGTTTTTTGAGCTATGAAAAAAATTAAGTTATTACAGGCACATTAACTGTTTCATTCTAGAAACATTTCTGTTTCACAGGTTGAACATTCAGCAGCTGTGTTGTTTTTGTTTATTTGTTTTTAAACATTCTTTGACCTTGGAAAAACTACATCTCTCCTTACGGACAGGGATTGGGTCATGATGATGGTATGGTAATGCAAAATACAGTGAATTATTCAGTGATAATTCACGCCAACTTGCATCATTTTTTTGGCTTCTCCGCTGCTGGTTCCTGTCCGCCATGTTCCTCCAAAGATATCAGGTCTCCGGTTGACTGAGACTGCGAGGCAATGGGGGAATGTGGGGCCCAACGGGAAGGAGGACGACGTTTTGCTGGTCTCTCGGGCCGGGAGAAGCAGGATTCTAGGGGTGGAGCTAACGCAGAACAAGGTAGTTCCTTCACAGCCAAGATAAGAAAAAGAGAGTTACTAACATTGATCATGTTGCTGTGGTTATATGCTCAAATGAAGCCAAAGTGAAGACTTACTAAAATGGTGGAGCACACTATAAACAAATAATGCAAGTCTTCTATGTTCAAATGCCAAATTAAAGCTAGAGAATATTTGGAGGAAATGAGCAGAAGTGGGCAATTTTTAATTATTACTTTTGATAATTAACCATTCCTTTGCTTCTGAGAAAGTAACCTAAGTTCAATACTGTTGAATGAAAATTATCAATGCATACATTAACTCGCAGACACTAAAGCATGAAGAAAAGCGGCCAATCTTGTGTATAGAAAATTCATGTAAAAAGAGAGTCATTATAGAAATGCTTCACAGATGGGCTGGACTATAAATAGGACATGGAGAGCAGAATTTGTGGCTTTTGCCAGACGATTAAATTAGTCAAATGTATGTTCAGCTGATCCAATTATTTTGTACTTCTTAATAATGATCTATGCAATTATAGCAAGAATGTCCAAAATGACTAGTTAAGCCATGCCACAGTCTGCATTGATGTCTACATAGAGATAAAGCCTGAGATTAGTGACTTCTTCCAAATGCATTAGCAATGAGATGTACAGGAAAACAAACCTGGCCACAAACTGCTATGTATTCAAAATTGAAAGACAATAGGCTCAACAAAGACCTATAAAGTTGAAAAAAATACTATCTAATGCTATAGAAAAAATTATGTTCTAAAAAAATTCTATCTATAGAGAGAAATCATAATTTGGGTCTAGTTTTCCTCAATATTGATTCATTGTAGCAGCATCAGAAAAATTAGAGGCAAAGCCAACTGTGATTTTCCATTCCAGGCATCCTATACCTATACCAAAAATGGTTATGTGCAACATATACTGAAATATTGCACAATGCCCTGAATAGCAAAATTTAAAGGGTTCACTGGTATCCAATTTAAAAAAATGTTGAGTTGCCAAATTTAGTTTTTATCTGATAAAATGAGGAAGCTATAAATGGAAATTTGATGGCATTTGAAGATATATACAGCAGTGATGAGGAAAGTTGATGACTGTGTATATGTTATGTCCTAAAATCAGTTAAATGACCAAAAGTTGAGATGGCAAACAAGATGGCAGAAAGCATAAACTGTGTTATGCAAAGAAAGAGCAATGATAAAACCAGAGGACTGATGAGCACTCAGGCAGTCAATTAACCATACAGAGATTTAATACAAGTGACATGAAACATGAAGAAAACAGGATGATAAGAGAGAAATCTGGTTTGAGCAGTAGCAAAAGACATTGCAATATGATGTCTGGATGGCGTGAAGCAGGAAGCAAAGATGGATGGCATTGGAGGAGCAAGTAAGAGTCAGTGGCAGCTATTGAGACAGAGTGTAGCTGAAGGAGACTTTTGAACTGTTTGAGTGGGCATGAGAGAACAAGAGACTAAGGGTAATGTCTCTCCCTTTCTGTGTAGTAAGCAGAATGAATTTACAAATGACCACTGACATTCAAGAGTATTTTTAGATGTGCCCTTCCAAGTGGTCAGTGCTACATGTTATAGGAGGAAGCCTAAAGTTAGCAATGCCTATGGCCTCATTGGTACTGTATCAATAAGGCTGCTGAGACACAAGTAAACACTAGGAGTACTGGCTCCACGTCCTTATTTCACCCCAGTTCATTGACTATAAGGGAAAATATGCTTTGTGAAAAATACCTCTGTTTTGGACCTGTCTGACAGAAGGCCATATGTGCTGTGATACCTGTAACAGGCACAACCAGCTGAGAGGAAGTATTGATTTTGTGTTAATTTGTATTCTGGCCTCTTATATTTTAATAGGATTTTGTGAAGTTTTATAATGGCTTCTATAGTTTTGTTTCCTTGATTGAAATTACCATAACTTCTCTCTCTTACTCTTTCTACTCCACCACTTTCCCCTCTAGCTCTCACGCTGACTAGGAAAAAGGGTTTTTGTTCAAACATTTTGTCTGCTACAAAACTCTACTCAAGATAAATTGATGTCATCAACATACTTGCCAGTTCTAACAGTAAAGAAAGGTTCTGCATGAGGTGTCACTACAAAATTCCATGGCCTATATTGTAACATACATGTGAGGACCTCTATATCCACTCAAGAGAGCTATCACCTTCAAAGGATTCACCTTGTGAGGCCATGCTTTTATTTCATTGTCTTATTACTTGCTGAATAGCCTTCAGAACTCATGCCATTATGTTGAATATGCTCAGTGATGCCATATTTTGTCTTTGAGGATGGACTTGGTTTTTAGAAAAAGCCAAAGGTAACTCAGATTCATCTGCTGAGTAAAATTATTGATTAAGCTGTGTGCTGATGTTTTTGGTCAGGAAAAAAAACAGTATGATTATAAATTTGGAGACGGATTTTCTTGTGTGAGCTATAAGCTGCCTCTAAAAGCAGTTTTGGAGGAAGAGCTCAAAAATATTTCAAGCATTGGCAGCTTGACTGGAATAAGAGATTTTTATCAAGATAAAGATCAATGTGCATTTGGATGTATATATTCTAATATCTTTTCTTTTAAAAAAATAAATCTCATTATTTTTTGGTGACAGTTAATAGATTACATCACTGTTTCTGTTGAGCAGACTGTAACTGGCAAGCAGGTCTGGACTTTGTGGAAAAATAAGTCTTCCGTGAGAAGCTTGGATGGAGAATTTTGGGCGAGAACTGTTTGTCATAGAAAAAAGAGGCCCCCTACAAAGTCAATACCTCTTCATAACTGTGAAGCAGTCTAGCCCTGTAGGTAGCTAACTCTTTTTATTGTAATGGCTACAAAATGCCTCTCTCCTAGGCACTGAGGTGGGATCAATCTTGACCCAACCTAAGTGAAAATCAATTTCTTCCCATTAAGTGCTAGGGAGTGGACTGAGGCTCACAGGGTTTATTCCACATACTGACCTTCACATAACAATTGGGTTGTGCTGGGGAAGGCTAACTAGTACAGAAAGTAACTGTTATCTTTTAAGTATTCTTGTTTTGTTTTTGAGGGTACAAATACCAACCAATAGTTATGCAAAATGATAACTTCAGACAGTTTTGGAAAACAAGGTAGAAATCACTTACAGCAGTGAGGCAGGCAAGGTTAGAGTCCCCAGGGGGTTGTTAGTAAGACAGTTTGGTTCTGGACAGAACAGACAGAAGAAAGAAAAAAAAAGAAAAGCAAAAAGGTTGGAAATGAATTTTTAAAGAGAAAACAGAGTAAAGATTTTATAGTCAACAAGAAGGATGGCTGTGGATGACTCTCCCAGCCATCCCCTGTGGGAAGCAAACTGGGTAAAAATGTCAAGCCCCTGACAAAACTGGACACATTTATATCAAAAGCAGACAGATAATCAGGGCCATCATCTCTCATCATTTCCGAGCTGAGAAGCAATGACTAAAAAAATAAAATCTATTATGGAGAAACAGCACAGCAGAGATTCCTATCTAGCTTTAAGCCACTTCTCCACTTTCTCTGTATTTAACATTTCAAACTCTTTTCTGGTGAACAAAGATGAGGAAATCTGAGTGATGTGGCCTGTGGTTCCCAAGCTATAAGAAACAAGAAAACAATTGTGCTGCCTGTCTTACTTTAGTCACAAAGATCAGGATACCCTGACTGTCCATGCTAAAGATTTTGTTTTGCTCTTTTCCATTGAGACCTGTGAGAGGGGCTGGGTGGCAGGCCAACCTGAGAATTTGACCTTCAGAGGATAAAATCTTTGTGCTTCGGCTTCTCACCGTTTCCTCCTTGACTACTGAAACAGGTGCCACAGGGGTCAGTGGGAGGTAAGAGGAACTAGACAGTGAGCTCAGCAACAGAGATGGACTGTTCTCTCCCTAAAAGACATACCAGGATATACGACAGTGTCACTCTGGTTCCCCAGTACCAAGAGCAAGAATCCTTTGTACCTAGAACAAGACTCACTTCTGTAGATCTGAATGTCTGAGTTAGCATTTGGTGGATATGTTTGTGGCAGAAAGTGCAGAGAGTACTTCAATGAACTAAGAGGGTTAGGTACAATTGGTACTGGCACTGAGGGGGAGTGAATTCATTTGGAAGTTGCTCTGATTATGTTGGAGTAAGAGCCTGAGCTGGTACGTCAATATGGATGAAGGTAGGAAAATGTACTCCTCGAAAAGTCCTAATGCACCAAATCAAGCTAGAAAACGAAATAACTGAGTTGGGACATAGAGATCAAGCAAAGCTCTAAGAGAAAAGGAAGAAGGGGTGCCAATCAATGCTCCATGCAGGTGCTGGACTGCCAACATCATGCCACGCTGTGGAGAAGGAGACCAATCAATTCCATTGGCTGGAAACAGTTGGAAAGGAAGAAATACAGAGACTTTTCTTTTCTTTTCTTTTCTTTTTAAAAAGAAACTCAAAGGGCACCAGCTTAGCCATGATAAAAACATTTTCTATACACCTCAATGGTGTGACTCACTCCTTAAGCCCTTTTATTCCTCTCGTTGCAGGTTTATTGAGAAACTTGGTATTCTGTGGATAACCCAAAGCACAGGTTTATTTCCTAAAATTTATTTGCTGTTTCATTCCCAACCACGAAGCAACAACTGCAGGCACAGCCAAGTTAATGCTTGAGCGCAAAGCCCTTGAACATATTCCCCCAGATTTCTGGGGGAGGCAGGACATTCACACATGAATATAGCCTCCATGGCTGCGGAACTGACAAAAACCAGCACTTACCTAGGAGACCTGGGCCCCGGAGATGGGGCTGATGGAGAACATTCAGAAGGCATCATTTGTCACCTAAGAACACTTAATCAGCAATATTTGTCCTTTGCACAATATGTATTTACCTTTGTGGAGGATTTATGTCCCAGGAAAAGCCTTACAAAGACAGTCATATTTTATTAATTATTTCCCCGAAGGAGAGGCACTATTATTCAGTGGGTAGAAACTGGGCCTCAGAGGCCAGAAGGCCTGGCTTCAAATTCTCCCTCTGATATACGCTG